CTACTGCAAGAAACCAAAAGAGACTTGCTAATGGATAGTTAGACTCAACATTGTGAAAATGTCAATTCTACCCAAAGCGATCTACAGATACAATGCAATCCCGATCCAAATTCCACCGGCATTTTTTAATGAGATGGAGAAACAAATCACCAACTTCCTATGGAAAGGGAAGAGGCCCAGAATAAGTAAAGCATTACTCAAGAAGAAGAACAAAGTGGGAGGTCTCACACTATCTGATTATACTGCCGCGGTAGTCAAAACAGCCTGGTACTGGTAGAACAACAGATACATAGACCAATGGAATAGAATTGAGAATCCAGACATAAATTAATCCACTTATGAGTAGCTGATATTTGACAAAGGCCCAAAGTCCGTTAATTGGGAAAAAGACAGTCTCTTTAACAAATGGTGCCAGCATAACTGGATATCCATCTGCAAAAAACTGAAACAAGACCCATACCTCACATTGTGCACAAAAACTAACTCAAAATGGGTCAAAGACTTAAATATAAAATCAAAAACGATAAAGATCATGGAAGAAAAAATAAGGACAATGCTAGGAGCCCTAATACATGAGATAAACACAATATGGACCATAGGTAACAATGCACAAGCACCAGAAGAGAGACTAGATAAATGGGAGCTCCTAAAAATCAGACACTTATGCTCATCAAAAGACTTCAACAAAAGAGTAAAAAGACAACCTACAGACTGGGAAAAAAATTTTGATTATGACAAATCCGATCAGCGTCTAATCTCTAAAATCTACAAGATACTGCAAAACGTCAACATCAAAAAGACCAATAACCCAATTAAAAAATGGGCAAAGGATATGAACAGGCACTTCGCCGAAGAAGATATTCAGGCGGCTAACAGACACGTGAGGAAATGCTCACGATCATTAGCCACTAGAGAAATGCAGCTCAAAACTACAATTAGATATCATGTCACCCCAACAAGGCTAGCATTAATCCAAAAAACACAAAATAATAACTACTGCAGAGGTTGTGGAGAGACTGGAACACTTATACACTGTTGGTGGGAATATAAAATGGTACAACCACTTTGGAAATCGATATTGCGCTTCCTTAAAAAGCTAGAAATAGAAGTACCATATGATCCAGCTATCCCGCTCCTTGGAATATATCCTAGAGAAATAAGACCCGTCACAGAAATAGATATATGCACACCCATGCTCATTGCAGCACTGTTTACAATAGCATAAAGCTGGAAACAACCTAGGTGCCCATCACTGGACGAATGGACAAATTATGGTATATTTACACAATGGAATACTACACAACGATAAAGAACAACGATGAAGCCGTGAAACATCTTATAATATGGAGGAATCTGGAGGTCATTATGCTGAGTATATTTAGGCACAGAAGGACAAATACTGTTTAAGACCACTATTATAAGAACTCAAGAAATGGTTTAAACCCAGAAGAAAACATTTTTTGATGGTTACGAGGGTGGGGAGGGAGAGTGAGGGTCATTCACTAACTAGATAGTAGATAAGAATTATCTTAGGTGAAGGGAAGGACAGCACACACTACAGGGAAAGTCAACAACTGGACTAAACCAAAGCTAAGAAGTTTCCTGAATATAATCAAACATTTTGAGGGACAGAGTAGCAGGGGCAGGGGTATGGGGACCATGCTTTCAGGGGACATCTAGGTCAATTGGCATAACAAAGCTTATTAAGAAAATATTCTGCATTCTACTTTGGTGAGTGGCATCTGGGGTCTTAAAAGCTTGCAAGAGGCCATCTAAGATGCATCAATTTGTCCCAACCACCTGGAGTAAAGGAGAATGAAGAACACCAAAGACACAAGGAAGGGCCCAAGAGACAGACAGGGACACATAAACCAGAGACTTCATCAGCCTGAGACCAGAAGAACTAGATGGTGCCTGGCTACCACTAATGACCACCCTGACAGGGAACACAACAGAGAGTCCCTGATGGAGCAGGAGAAAGGTGGGGTGCAGAACTCAAATTCTAGTAAGACCAGACTTAATGGTCTGACTGAGACTGGAGGAACGTCGGAAAGCATGTCCCCTAGATTCTCTATCAGCCCAGAACTAAAACAATTTCCGAAGCCAACTCTTCAGACGAGTTGGACTGCACTGTGGGACATAAAGTGATACTCGTGAGGAGTGTGCCCCTTAGCTCAAGTAGATACAGGAGACTAAACGGGCAGCTTCTGTCCGGAGGTGAGATGGGAAGGCAGAGAGGGTTAGGAGCTGGTTGAATGGACGTGGGGAATCGGGTGGAAAGGAGGAGTGTGCGGTCACAGTATGGGGAGAGCAATTAGGGTGACATAACAATGTATGTTTGAATTTTTGTATGGGAAAAAAAATAAAAATAAAAAGTAATTTTAACAAACATTTAAATTGATTTACCATTTAAAATAAACACTTGAACTTTTTAAGCATTTCTTTTAATACTGAGAAAAAAGTTGAGTTTTATTTATATACACTTGTTTGAACTTTAGGCTGGTGTCTAGATTATTAAATACAAATCTATGTGTGGTAAAAAAATAGTTTTCATCAATATACATTATCAAGAATTGAAAAAACAACTTACAAAATGGGAGAAAATCAAATATATATTCACACAGACATTTGTCCACGAATGTTTATAGCAGCGTTATTCATAATATCCGAAAGGTGGAAACAACCCAAATGTCCATCAGCGAATGAATGTGGGTATATGCATGCGTTGTTGTGTGCGGTTGAGTCGGTTTTTGACTCATAGCGACCACGTATGACAGAGTAGAACTGCCCCATGAAGTTTTCTAGGCTGTAATTTTACAGGAGCAGATTGCCAGGTCTTTCTCCTGCAGAGCCACTGAGTCAGCAGCCAAGCGCTAAGCCAAGCCCAGCAGCAGCTGTCATGCCTCCAGGGCTCCTTATGTACGTACAGTGGTATATCATTCAGCCGTACAGAGGAACGAAGTCCTAATATATGCGACAACTTGGATAAATCTCAGAAACATTATAGTAAGTGAAAGAAGCCAGACACAAAGGGTCACCTGTGGTTCCTTTGATATGAAGTACTCATAATAGGTACATCCATGGACAGGAGATTATTGCTTGCCTGGGGATGGGGGTGGGGGGAGTGGATAGTGGGGTGTTGTTCTTCTGGGGTGATGAAAAGGTTTTGAAACCAGAGAGGGGGTGGCTGCACAGCCTTGTGAACGCACTAAGTGCCACTGGATTGTACACTTTAAAATGGTTCGTTAGGTGCTATTTAAATTCCAGCTCAGTTTTAAAAATAAATAATAAAATCTCTGCAGCAGAAGATGGACATCTGTTGAATCAAAATGGTGGATATGTGATTGTATTCTCTGTATTTTTCTACCTGTTTGAGATATTTTATAATTTAAAAAAAGCGTCAAATCTAGCAACATATAAAAAAGATACTACAAGATGACCAAATGGGGTTGCAGTCAGATGCTTATTTGTTTCGCATTCAGTGTGCATTTCTCTCTCTCTCGCCTTGTTGTATTCTCCGGGACCCCAGGACAGTGTTTGGTGAGAGTGAGAGAGCACACACCTTGGCTTTGCGCCTGCTGCAGGGGGAACCTTCTCTCATCGTTATGTTTGACAGTGGTAGGGTTTTGTAGCTGTCCTTTATCAAGTTAAGGAAGTTCCCTTCTGTTCCTTGTTTGCCGAGAGCTCTTATCCTGAGTGCTCTTAATCAGTTTTAAGTTTGTATATGCATGTGTGCACGCGCATGCATCTGTGTGTGTGTTTAAGGAAAATTGGCCTTTTTTTACTTTCAGATGTATTGGCATGAGGTAGATAGCTTTTCTTGTAGCTTTGTCCCCCCTTTTTCACTCTTACTATTATGTTTTCCCCCCACCCCATCTTTTCAGTATTTACACACACACACCCACCCACCCACACCCACACCCACACCCACACCCACACCCACAC